CAGTCAGCCCGCAGCCAGCAACCAACAAAATGGACCAGGCAGGCAATTGGAAAAACAAACACATGCCGACAGAGGCAATAGGCCGCCAGATTGACATCTTCATCATAAATAAAAGTGAAAAACTTGTTGGCGAGTGAAGAAAAGCCGGACAAACGCAAAGTCCGAGCTAGCCAAACGTAACGAAAAATGCTGCCACAGTTTTCTACGATTTGTAACTGCAGCAGCATCGTATCTGAGTATCTGATGTGTGGCAATGTGGCAAGTGAATGCCAATCGAAATGGCAAACAAATAAACTAACAAGCATCCAGGCTAATAACCATAACAATAACAATGCCATTGCCCGCCAGTTACAAGCGGGTTAATGAAGACATGTTGTCGTGTTCCTTATGGAAGGAGTCGGATACCATTGAGACGATGTCATAATTACACTTAAATATCGTATATAGTCGCTAATGGAGCGACCAAACAATCCGGGCGTTTGATAGTGCAGCGGGGGTGGCGGGATTTTTGAATGCTTGCTGTAACGCCAACGTGACGCATGCTTAATTATCGGTCCACGTTGGTAACGCCCTCTCGTCGCTAGGTGTTAACAAACTCATTTCACTCAATAATTTTCTCAACGATCTGTAATTGGTTTAGACAGCACGTAGACCCGGCCCCAACCGCAGTCAGCGCTTGACTTGGTTACGCCGCCTATCACAGCTACATGGCTCTTTAATCTTCTTGCAGAGGCGGCAACATTATTTGCATGCTGATTAGCCTTCAACGCAGACAGGTTGCTACACATTTTGCACCTCACTTTCCATCTCTCAGACGTGGCTCGATCTCGTTCTGTCTTTCTGCCCCGTCTCCAACACCAACTCCAACTCCAACTCCGACTACGACTCCCAGTTAATCTATTAACAGCCGCCTTGCACTTGCCCGTCGCGACGGCTTGGTCCAATTTTCAACACTTTTGACGTGCTGTTAATTGATTTAGAGTGCAGTTTGCGTCCACGTTTGGCCATTGAGTCGCTGGCTAACTGGCTATCTGTCCGGTGCGGACGTGGACGTTTCTGACGGCGTCTATGATTATATAGCGCCACTCGCTTGTTATGGCCAGCTTTTGTTGCCACTGTAATGACTGCTGTTGGTAATTGTTGCCTCCTCATTGCCGGTTCGCTGTACGTGCCGCCAGTGGGAAAATGTTTGCCTAACTGCTCAATCGTGCTGAAATGACAACTTTATTAGCTTTCGAATACAGATGTGGGCGCGGCAATTGCTTTATGTACATACATTGTGTGGGTGGTTAACACAAAGCAGAGACAGTTTATTCAGCTACTAATTGGCTCGGCAACGACTGTACCCACAAATATAAATACCACTTCGCTTCACTGAAGCTACTCGAAATTTCTACACGCAAAACAATGGGCATTCGAAATGCATATGGACCAAATGTTGTTTACCGATTTTGCTTTCGGCCCGGCAGCGCAGCAAACAGGGTCAGTGGAACACCTTGCGTGGGCATCAAATTCAGTGCCGAATCAAAACACCAGAATCAGAGACATGTGCACAGCGAGCAACAGATTGCCAGCGAGAGGGTCCTGTAGCCAAGCGAAGCCAAAGGGAATGCAACAAACGAAACGAATGCTGGAAACATTTGCCAGTTGCTGGTCACAGCAGGTACTTTTTAAGGATAATACAGATGCAGGCTGCGTTGCAGTCCCGTGCATCCTGTGCGCGCAACAGGCTGCAGTTGTTAGTCCAAATGGATTTCTTTTTTTACCATGCCAAAGAGATTTACTTTTGTTGTTTCATTTTTCCTTTTTGTTGTTCTTGTAGCAGCTGCTGTTACTGCTGCTGCTGCGTTGATTCTCAGCAAAATGGCAGCAATCACAGCAGACGCATTGGCATTGAGCTGGCCTTAGTTCCAACTGTTGCTTTCCGTGGAAAATTTCAATTTCCAAGCACAAAGCAGACGCAAATACTCTAGAAGCTGGGTGTGTTGGCTTCGGCTATGTCGGTCGCGCAGGCGCTTCTAGACGTGCATGCCAATACTATTCTTCATCAAAGGCTTATTTGCTGTTTATTTATTTTCGCCACCAACTTAATTGTTATGCGTGGGCGTTGTCCAGCAGACGTTTTAAAAGCGTTCGAATTCATTTGTTATTTCCAGCGAATTTACGACCATCTACATTCCTGAAGTCCAACTCGTCTATCGATTGGATTACATATCTTCAGCTGCGACCTTAACAGTTGGAGTGCCTCAACAGTCATGTTTTACAGCAAAATAATTAAGTTTATTATTATTATTTATGTGAAAATAATAACATTAATTCAATATTCGCTTTTTGAATAACAAATCTGCATGAGAATTTCTTTAACTAACTAACAAACTTGCTAAAGGAAGGAACTAAGATTAAAACCTAAACTTTACTCTTCTCATTACAAATCGAACGTTGGGAGCTACGTTAACAGATTTTTCCTTATCATTTGAGTATCGTAGTATACGTAGAGCTTTTAAACTCTTCCCACTGGCTAAGGCTTTTACTTCAGTTAAAGGTAATATACAGTTCTACATACGATCCATCTTCCATGAGTATTTTTGCGATTCATCGATTAATCAGGTGTCAACTGAATTGATTTGTGAAACTGTATCAAATTATATATTTGTGGCTTGTCGCTGTTGCCGCTGCCCCACACGAGTCACAGAATAAAAAAAATTTAAATAAAAATCTGGGGAAGAACCTGATGCTCGGGCGACAGTTGTTGCAGTTGATCGTCTGCGCCGGCTGCCAGGATTTTCGTTTTTTCCAATCTGTTTTTTAAAATGGCATTCAAGGGGCCGCCGCGAAGCCAATCAAAAACTGGCGCAAGGGCAGCAGCTTGGAGCTCAAATTTTTTGGTGGATGCATTTTTATAAATGTTAAGCGTGTGGTTTTTAATTACAGTTAGTCTGGCTAGCAGGAGTCTTTGGTATTTTTGACTTTTGCCTTTTTTTGTATACTATTTTGGCTTTGACATATGGCACGCGTTGTGCTTAGAGACTGAGGCGCAGTACGTTGACTTCTTAGCAGCTGCTGGACCGTCTTCTCGTTTAAAGTTTGCTCAGCGTTATTAACATTACGCAAACACGCCACAAAGAACCTCGACAACGTCCCGAGTTTTCGATTGCAACATGAGTTTTGTGTTTCATTGTCGCTGCTAAAGAATGGAAATGTGGAATAGAAAGAAATCATTTGATGCCTGCAGAGTCCAACCACCCTAAGGCAACTGCTGTGTCCCTCATGTACTTTGCTTGATGAATTTTCCACAATTTATTTTACGATTTGGCTGCTTCTTTGTACTCGTCTCCTGATTTTCCATGGCTGTTAAATTGATGGATTGCTGTGCGACTTCTGACACCACATACAATTGCATTTCCCTCCAGACATCAGAAAGTCAACTAAGAAACATCGACATCTTAGCTGCCAAATCTTAAGCAAGCATGAATAATGCGACTTACAACTGACCCAGCTCCCAAAGGATATCCCCCTGACTTCCTAAAACTATTGAATATATGTATTTGCTGAGCCAAATTTAAACTGATATTTACTGTTTGATTTTACGAGCCTTCTTATGGACAACTCGTAAATTTTGCTTCGGCTAATAAGCAAGGAATGCTTGCTAAAAGACATTGGATTTCAAATTGAAATCTGTCAATCAGGTATTGGCTTGCCAATAAATTGATTAAAATCGCATGTCAAACAAGGAAGCTGTGAGACAACGAATGAAGTGAACTTTTAGTAATAAGTAAATTGAGAAAAGTTAGGAATTCATGTCTAGTCTCGAATCTTATAAGTGAAGTTAAGAAAGAACTGAAATATTTGCCATTAACAATCTACCAAAGTTGAATTGCTTGGATCAGCTTTAGTGCTAAAACACTTGTTCCACTTCAAAAAACGTCAGTACTAATGTATCTATGTCTGGCTTACCTACACACACACTCTACATATATTTATATGTAGATACTTGTACGAAGGCAGAAGAGAACGGACGCAGCCACTTGAGAAATCCACCTGCACAAGAGCGACGTTTCGCCGGCAACTGGCAGCGATCTGCATCTGCGATCTGCATCTGCGATCTGTTGTGGTTGTCCCTCTGCGCGTTCCTCCACCAGTCCCCATTCGTTATCCCCGTTCACTGCTCAGGTTCCAAGTGCTGCGTCTCCTTAATGTTTATAAACCTTACGCACACTTATGTTTTAATTTCGCTGGCCCAGTCTCGGTGCCGGTTGGTGTTGTCGCTGCTGTTTCTACTTGAACAAACTGCAGATTACCCAAGTTAAGCCCTTAAGTGTGTTCCATATCAGGTTTATCAATACGAGCCTCTTTGTTGTATCGCGTTATATCGCATCGAAGACGAGCATTCGCTTCACTGCCCACATGAGCGAACGGCCAGCCGAACGGATTAAATATATCATTTTTGCCTGTCTAATGAAAGGGTTGTCCCGGCCACTCGGCTAACACCTGAAAATTGCAGTTGTTGGTCCTGTTCACAGCAACCTGCTCGCAACGGCAACTTTTTTCTTATTTGGGGCTACATAAATGCTTTATGAAGAAAGTTGTATATGGGGGTAGGAAATACAGCAGGCGTAATGATTGATATTGAGGAAGTTGTCTTGCGGTTGTATTACATTTTCATACTCTGTTTACACTGGAAGAAATTTAGTGACGTACTTTTATAAATATGTATTTTGCTTTAAAAATAAATGACGGATGTAAAGAAGTCTCTTTTCTTACGTAAAAAATTATAAAGCTCAATTTAAATATTTTATTTTAATATTCTATTTACAGAAAGTTTTTTCAGTACCACTACTTTTTCTCTCAGTGTACTTAAATGCCGCTGGTTTGTATCGCTTACGATACAATGCCGATAATAAAGTCCTTAGTATGAAATTAATGATTAAACAGGGGCGAAATATACAGGGTGCCTCGAATTCAAACTCATTAATATTTAGTAAGCATCTCAATGATATCTGAAATATACTCAGATTGTATATATTTCTTGTGTAGTTATAGTAGTGCAGAACAAATTGTATGTTAAAATATGAAAATTAAATGGCAGACGTTCCCAAAGTTATTTGTAGTGCTACCAATATTACACTATGTGCTTTCAATGATAGTGCATGCCGAATCCGAGGAGCACAAGCGGAAGAAGGAGCTGGGTGAGTGTGGAGTAGTTCTCTATCTATTTGATGTATGCATGCTGACATTGAACCTCAAAAGCTGAAAAAGCCAATTCAAAGGCGAAAACTGTATTAGAAATACCAACCGAGACTTAGCTGCAGGGGACACCCTGTAAAAGGGAATTGCAAAAGGCTTTTTGCTTTTGTGTGGTAAGGAAGTAAATGCACACAAATTACCCTCAGCCGAAAAGCTATCGACAAGGCTCGACGACACCGGCAGCAACAACAACTGAATATATCGAAACGGAAGCAGCAGTCAAGGTGCAAAGCAAAATCATTACACCTGTTCCTCCGCAGAGCGAGTGAGTGTAGAAAGCGTAGAAATCGAACGCAGCGAACAGGACAATGGTGAGGACGACGATGAGAATGGGGCAGCCAAACGAAAAGCCAAACAAAATTTAACGCTCGCCGTATTTTTGGTTAATTTCGAATGCATTTCGATATGGTAAAGGGTTGAACAGCGCGTGCAGCGAGCAGATATATTGTACCTACTCCCTAGTCCCTAGTCGAAAGTTCAATTTTTGGGCATTGGTCACGCTGCACTTGCCACGCGGCTCTGCTGTATGTTGCATGTTGCATGTTGCAGGCGACATAAAAGCGAATACGAACTCATTCAATTCGCTATCAAAATTAATAAAAATAAATACGCTTCGCTCTGCTGCGCTGCCGTTAATGAGCAGCCAGCCAAATTGTGATAGGCATCTGCAACAGGTCGAGTTGCAGGTGCAACGAGTTACAGTTACAGTTATACAGTTGCTCCAAGGATTTGCACGAAATTGCATTTTAATTGTTGCATATTTTGAGCTGCCCAACAATTTCATTTATAACTGCGCCTCTGGATCATTTTATTGATATCATTAGCAGCCTGTTTAGCCTGCTTCACGCTACTCGCTGCACCTGCTAGTCGTAATGGCTGAAAGGTTTCGTTAGAATTAATGGGCCAAAAGGGTTAGTCAGTTTGGTTCTGCCCTCTCATGCTTTCTCTTTAATTGCAGGTCGTCTGCATTTTGGTAATTTATTATCTATTCATCGAAGCCCGTGCACGAGAGGGTTGCACTTTTAATTATGTTGCATGTGTATGAAAGTGAATTCGTAATAAGATGAGATCAATGTGGGAGCGGCCAAAATATTTGGGCACCTTCAACGGGAGCCACCAACGACATGAATATTATTAAAAAGATATATATTAATAGAGTGTATACGGGGTCATATTTGAAATATATTTAAATATATATTAATAATGAACAATATTTTTTATTAATTTTTATATATATGTATTATGGAAAATATTTCTCAATGATTAAAATCAATTTGGTATATTTGGTATATCCAATCTGCATCTACAAAAGCTCAACATTGAGATCTCTATGTAGTCAATTGTAGAGAATAACAGAGGGCATGTTTGGTCGCCTTTCAGTCAGGCCTGCAGATATACCTCAATTATCTTTGTTAGTGGTGCAACTCATGCAATAATGTCACCAAGTTTATGATACAACGTTCGTAATTATTAAGTTGATAATTTGGGTAGTCGTTAACAGTTTACCCTACCACAAAACAAAAGACTTAAGCCACAAACTTCCGTTCGACTCAATACTGCCATACATGCAGGAGTTATAACTAAAGGGTTGCCCCAAGCATTGCATATTATTTAATCATTCATGTCTGATGGCCAAGAAGTGGTACAACAACTGGATCAGCAAAGTAGTTCCAAAGGAGTGACAAGGCAAGGCAGCTAGTCGGACAGAGGGAGATGGGGACAGCGTGAGAGATGGAGACAGTGAGACTGGCTAGCGCACCTTGCGCTGTTTATTTGGCAGCATGAAAAATTGAAATGACAGTCGAGCTTATCTCAAGACGACAAGACGCGAAGCAGGCAACGAGGCAGGAAGACAGGATATGCGCCAGTGGCTCGAATGTATATATTTTTGGCAATGCGTCAGTTGCAATTAAGCTGACAGCAAAGCGGCGCACTGCGATGACAACCTGCAACTGTCAAAATGTCGCTGCGGCTGCGACGGCAGTGGCAAAAACTGTCAGCGTTCAGTGTCGAGAGACAGACAAAGAGACAAATGTGACGCCATATAAAATCAATAAATTATGAAAGCCCGGGCCAAGGCGCACTTCTGCTGGCCGTCGCTGGGCAGTTGCATAATGCATATTCTAAGTGCGCCCCAGGATGCGTAAGGACTGACGGCTGCAAACCGGTTGCCTCCTTGCTCACTTGGTCACTTCCCACGTCCTTAGGGAAAGGCGCGTCTGTACAAGTATTTGGCGTTGATTGATTTAACTGCAGAAGGTGTGCTTTGCAGTTGCCTTTGTCGTCGTCGTTGTTCTTGTTGCTGTTTCTTTAATGAATTAATTGAGTTGGTCCATAATTAAATTTGCACGTTTCGTTTTTGCTGCAATTCGTTAATTTATGAGCTTTTAATTATTTTTGCAATTAAAGCTGCGGCGTTCACACGTTCGGTAGCCATATAATTATTTCCTTACAACAGGATCAACAGGATATGCTGCTCATTTGTCAGTAGTGAAGCGTTAAATCGAAAGGAGATGAAACAGAGGTAGGCTACCGAGTTGTGTTAGCCTAAATAAGCAACAACACAAAATAAAAACTTGACGAGCGCCCCGTTGCAAAACAAAAGACTCAAGCAACAAACTTGTTTTACTTTTTTCATTTTATGCTTTTATTTTTGTATTTTTTTGGCAGCTGCTTTCTTAAGCCCCTGTCATTGGCATAGTATGCTGGTAAAGCGGACTTTTTTTTAATTATATGAAGCATTATTTTCTCCCAGCCACACAATAGACGTGATCTTTCACTAGCTCAGGTGCATTGCTTGGCATCGGCTTTGTTCTATTTCTGCTCACAGGCCGTTCACACAGAAAAATTGTCATTTTAAAAACTCGATTGTTTGGAAACGCTTTGCTCTACTCGTATATACGAAATTACCTGCTGAGCAAAATGAAAGACAAAAAAACTGAAAGAAAGAAAAAACGATTTCGTGCGTAGTTGTTCTGTGAGGCTCGCACGCAGCTGGGACTAGCAGATACATATACAGCGCACGGGATTGCAACAACAGATCTTCTTTCCTCTTCAATTTTAGTTTAGGTTTTTGCAGGTGGACATCACGAAATATTCTCAGGGCCAGAGCTATGTGTCTGGTTACGGTTATAAAACTGTATTCCCGTTTGCCAAACGTGGGAACAGAGTTTCTCTTTTCTTTTTTTCTTGGCAACAACTGAATATCTTCCAAAATAGATTCTGATTAAAATCGAAAGTTTGATTTGAAAATATCAATGTTGAATGGAAAATATTGAAATACTTCTAGATAAGTTCATAAATTGATGTAAACTATTTTCATAGTGAGAGATGTAATCCAACTATGAGCTTATATAAGAGCAAAACTGAGTCGTTGTTACTTCACTTAATTCTATATTTATTTATAAATGGAGTTCATCCTTTATTTACATTTATTTCCTTAATACTAACCATACTGAAGTAAAAGGCTTTTATTTTGATAATGTCTCTTACGAATCGTACACTTGTTTTGCACTACATCATTAACAGCATCTGGAGCGGAGAGCTTTCTTTCCGATTTAGACATTTGTTATGCAAACATTTCACTTTCCAGACAATTTCCTCATTTGTACATCATGAGTTGGCTTTATTCGCTGGGCTCTATCGGCAATCAAATGAGTTGGCAACTTTGTAGCTGCCACTGGGCTGACGGGCGCAATCAAATGGACACATCGAGGTTGTGCGGACTCTGACTTTAATTGTTTGCAAATTAGCTAATTAAGAGAATAAAGAAAAATATTATTACATCTTTAATTGGAGCCGAAATAATTCGCATAGATGCGACGCAGAATGTCAGGTGACTAACCCTCAGCCCACAGCATTCTATGAGTGGGGGGCATCTGAACACATTTATGAGCCCATTTAAATTGTATTGCCGCACGGCCAGCGAATTTCCGCAATTTGGGCAGCTGCGACCGATCTGCGATGAGATAAGCGCTAATAAAACAACAACAACGACAAAATAGCCACATAACCATCAGAAAATTAAGAAAAAATTCAAAAACAATGAGCTTAAATAACATAATTGAGATGTTCAAGCGCCCTGCGGAGCCGCTTCTGGCTTTGCGCCCGTGTTGTCATCGTTAAAGACTTAATTTATTTATTAGCCACAGATTTTAACTGCTCCATTGTTCAAGAGGATTCACGTTCGGAGGGCTGTGAGGCTGTGTGCATTTGCCACAAAGAAGAAAACAACAACAGCAACAACAACAAAACAGTATAATAATAAAATATATACTAAAAATATTGAAGCGCAGTCGCCCTCAATTGCAAAGCAGTCGGCCAGCTAATTAGGAAGTATCTTTGGCTGCCCTTCTCTCTCTCTCTCTCTCTCTGCTCTCCTCTCAAGTTGGGGCCAGAACTTAAAAGAGGCGTTTCCGTCTGCCCAGGCGGCTGTCGCTTTACGACTTTGTTTCTGTCGGCTCTCGAGTTCATTTCTGTGCATGTTTTCGGTTGTTTCATCTTTTATGATGATATCCAAAGATTTTGCACCTTATGAGAAAATCTGGAGATTGGCCGCGACCAGTTCGTTGTCGGTGTCTCATCTGCCGCCGACATGAACGTTGACTTCGTCGACGACGTCGCTGCCAATCTTGTTAAAGCTGCCGCACGGCGCATTGACACATTGTTGCGCCTGCGCATTCAGCTTGCCACAACTTGTGGCTAGTTGGCTGCTTGCGTTGCTCTTTGAACATTTGAAAGTCCGTTTGGCTGTCAAAAGCGTTAATTTTTAAGTGCCTAGTGAGAGTTTTTTGGCCTCGTGCAGCTGCTGCCATAGACACGACAGTCAACCAACACACTACCATAACTCTCGTGTGTGTGTGTGTCTATCTTAAGCTGAGTATCTGTGTGCGTGAGTGTCTGTAAAGTTTTATGAGTGCACGGGTTCAAGTGGCAAGTGTCTTGACTATTTTTTATTTGCCACATACTTTTGAGATGTTGAACCCATTAATTTGTAGCTTGTCATTAGCAGCGAAATTGGACTTAAAACCGACTTTTCTTTGGACCCAGAATTCCTCATTTGGCAAGTTTACAGTTGCTTTCGCTGTAACGGCTCGTCGCTTGTCAACTGAGCACAGTCAGGCTCTAATTACAGTTAGTAAAAACAATGGGAAAAGTTCTCAAATATTTTTTTGTTAATATCGGAATCGTATCCATTTAACATGATTTTTATTACGGAACTAATTTAATTT